GTTCCAGGCCCCGTGGTGCAGTTTGGGCGAGTGTGGGGAACAGTACTGCCTAGTGTGGGAGTCACGCTTCCTCAGGGATCTGGGCTCAGCCATGACGTCTCTCTTGGATGGGCTGGTCAGCATGGTGGCTCAGGAAGCCCTAAAGTACACTGTGCTGTCAGGTAGGACCGCTGTGCAAGAAGCTCTTGTTGGTGTTATCTGATGTGAGCTGATGGGATGTGAGTAACCTTTGGAACCAGTAGTCATCCTTTACAGTTTCGACTGCTTTCTAACAATTCCCATCAGGGATTGTGACGGCGTTGACGTGGCCTGCGTCTTTGCTGGCAGCAGCCAGCGTCATCGACAACCCCTGGTGTGTTTGTCTGAACCGTTCCGCCGAGGTGGGGAAACACCTGGCACAGGTTTTGAGAAGCCGACAGCAGGTAGCCTTTTATTTGGTATCTTTGTTAATACAATCTTATCGCCACATCACTTCTCACCTTTCATCTGCTCGATGCAGTAGAATTTCAAAGCCTTAGAAGAAAGAAGGCTGTATGGCATGCAGCAACATGTGTGCGCTTCACCTGTGGTGCCTGTGTACACACTGTTCACCGGATTACATTAACCAGGATGACTCTGTTATTCGCTACATTCATTGCTTCTCTAAATTGTTTTTCTTTACTATGAATATGCCTGTGTTCACTAAACAGCAGGAAAATTAAAGCTACTCACCATTCCTTTCATGTGTTTGAAGGGGAAGCGGCCCGTCAGCCTCATAGGTTTCAGTCTTGGAGCTCGAGTTATCTATTACTGCCTGCAGGAGCTCGCCAGTGACCGAGGTGCAATTAGAGGTTGATGATGGATACATTTCTACTTTGTATCCCGCATTTTTCAGACTCTAAAAATTCATCTGTGTTGTTTTTGAATCCTCAGGTAGTGAAGGAGTAGTGGAGGATGTGGTCCTCCTGGGGGCCCCAGTAGATGGATCTGAGAAGGCCTGGGAGAGAATGGCAAGAGTAGTAGCTGGAAAAATAGTAAACGGATACTCCAGGTAAGGAAGAGTTCTTTCCTGATTTAGAAATCCAGAAATGAAACCTTTTTTTTAACAGTAATGCTTGCAGATGCTTTATGCTTTTGTTGTAGTAATTATTTAGCCAGTAGGTGAGCTGAGTCCATTTATGTTCCTCATGCAACTTTGCAAACGACTGTCACAGCAGCAAGATGTATTTTTCAATGACTGCATGAATAAAGGACTCTCTGATCTACATACCTATCAGAGGGGACTGGCTCCTGGGATTCTTGTACCGAAGTTCAGCTGCACAGCTGTCTGTTGCTGGCCTGCACCCAATCAACATCCAGGATCAGCGCATAATCAATGTGGATCTTTCCTCAGTGGTGAGTCAGAGCCTGTGTTTGAAATCTGATGAAGTACACCTTGGTAAATTAAAACACGGCTGAAGGTAAAGGAACTGGAATTTTAAAGTATTCAAAGAGTAACAAAAACCACATGCAGTGCATTGTCTCAAATTTGGTCTGTTAGGGGGTCAATTTATGTTTTTGAAATAATAGAAGCAGCACCTGAATAATTCATGAGAGGGAAATGAAGTAGCTCATTCCTACATGAGAAGAAATTCAGACAAAAGATCTGTAGCTACTCTTCCATATTCATGCATGACATTTCAAAAGGAACATTGACTTTTGATTTCATACCACATAACCATCACATCAGGTAGCTGTGCGTTTCCAGATTTGCTTTTGCACAGCCCTAATCCACAGCTTATATAAGTTTTGTCACATCAAACACAACACTGACATATTTTCACCCTGTAAAGTTGTTATACAAAACACTTGCTATTTACACATCAAGCAGATACAGAGTGAGCGTGAGTGTCGTCTCCTTTGACTCCTGAGGGAACCATCTGGATGTTTAAGCGCAAAGCAAATACACCGCAGCGATCACCTGGGGACTGTTCAGGAAAACAGGTTCACTGGAAACTCTGGGTTTCCTGCTCCTGAAAGAAGGCTAAATTAAACTCCATGTGTGCTCCTGGAGTTTGAAGCTTTAGACACACACAGGATACTGATCAATAGATCAAACTTCAGTAAATGTAGTCTTTAAATTTAAAAACAACATCTCAACATTCACATCAAATGCAGACATCTCTTCTACTACTAATAACCAAATTGATTATTCCTGGGTCTGACTCTGTCGTATCTTTTTGATTTCCATCTTGAGCTGCTGTTATCAGAGTAACAGCTGAATGATTATGTTTAAAACTTCATAATTTCAAGTCTGATAAACAATGGCTTAGTGGATGACATGCTTTTTTAAAATTTTAAATAAATGTCATGGTCTGCACTGGCATACAATTGTATTTCTGGCCCTACTGGAATAACATGGAGGCTCTGCTTTTTATTTACCAGTTGCCATGGTGACTCTTGCTCGCTGAGGTCCATTGTTGATCAGGGTGAACACGGTCAGATTTAATTGAAAAGTTTCCCCTCTCAGATATAATGACCTCAGTGTTCAGGGTTAGAGTCAAGAGTTTTCAGCCTGTTAAACCTGCTATACACCCCAGCTAGTCGCTAACTGTCTTCTGCTGTTATCCACATTGGAGTACTAGTACCATTAAGGGTACTTTGGAGTACAGCAGAAGGTAAGGTTTCTTCATTGTCAATATAAAAATATGCATCAGTAATGGATCATTTCTAAAATAACTGGACGCAGCAACTGTTGTAAGCTCTCAGCTTAAGTATCCAGTGACATCACGAATCAGGATTTTTGTTCAAAACATGGCAGCAGTGTTTCTGCAAACACAAAGAAAGCAGCGATCCTTGTGTGACCCCTTTACTCTCTAATAACTGATCTGAGGAAGGTAAGGGAAACACTGTGCCTCATTTTATTACTGCAATTTAAAAAAACATATTTTTTACTAGATTTAAAAGCTCATGGTGTCGTGGTTTACACAACTGACTAACAAGCAAAAGATCTCCAGTTTAATCCCAGGAGAGACACAAATCCTGTTGGGGTTTTATCAGGAAAAGCACCTGGTGTTAAAATGTCTGCCAAATCCAGATCATGTGGAGTTAACCACTGTGGCTTGTCAGTTAGTACTTGGCTGAAAACAATAAATAAAGAGCTTACATTAGTGGAAAAGAAACCTGAGAACCAGTGTGCACTATGTATGACTGAGCTATTGGGTCTGAAACCAAAATAATAAGTTAAAAGGGGTCTTTTAGGAGTAGGGATTAAAGGAATAAACAGAGCAAAACTGTTACAGACAGGTATTTGAGACGATGGATCACTGCAACTTTACATCTTACTTCTGGAAGAAACATTTATTTAATACTTAATACAAAAATTGAAGGTTTTCCAATAAGATTTAGGTTTCTGTAAGTGAGGCAGCAATATTAAATACTGTTTTATTAGCATATTAAAAGAAAGAGTTGTTTTGTTTAAATATAGCTGAAATTTATGAAAAACAAGGCCCCCGCTGGTCTGTTTCACATCACAGCAATGATTTTCTACTAACATTCAAGTCAACACAACTACTCATCATCTGTAGTAGCTCCAAGTAAAGCATTAGAGGTTTCACATGTTACTCGAGTAAAGGTTTAAACCACAGCAGTAAAAAGATACCTGACATGTCTGAAGCACCATACAGCACATACCCGGTCATGTAATGAGGAGAACAGGATAAATGAATCGTACAAAATAATACATTAGTGCCTAAATGTTTCTTTAAAAGAACAAAAAATAGGTAGTATACGAATGAGGTTTTAATCATGGATAATAGCACTGTATTCCTGCCTCCTAGGTTAAAGGTCACTTGGACTACATGCGTCAGATGGACACCATCTTGGTAGCAGTAGGAGTTCCCACTAAAGAAGTGCCGGGAACCTCTTTTGCAATTCCTCAATATGTAACAGTGGCAAAGGGGACGGTGGACATCGCTGGCCAAACCACCAATGAGCGACAAGCGGCCGAGACACAAAACCACACTGAGAAGCCTGAGACGCAACAAAGCAGAGATGCCAAAGAGTTGGCAGAGACGGAGGAGACTGCTGACGGTTGGGATATCCCTGATATTTCAGATCTGCTGGACTCATTAAACGATACAGAATCAGACAGCAAAATGTCACCGCAGAAAAATTCACCTCGTATTTCAGACGAGAAGGCTCCTAATAACATCACAGCCACTGATGTGAATGTCCGGTGTGACGGTGTAGACAAGGACGACCGGGATAATGAACACATATCATGGAGCTGGGATGACACACATTGGACTACAGAGAACTCGCACAAGTGAAGGCGGCCAAACTTGTAAAGAGCATGTTACTGGACCGGCTGCTTCCTTGTAAACTCTTCTCAAGTTTGTTTGTTTGGATTTTTGTTTTTTGTTATTGGAGAAAATATTCATTCCATTCTCAACAAAGTGACACGAAAGAGACTGCACAAGAATCGACACACACACATACGGCAGCTTCTAGTGAAAATCCCCCAAATGAAGTGTTTTGTTTGACTGCTTAAACACGGGTTTAGATGTATTGATTGAATGATAATTTTGGTTATTGTAGATAACTTTTTTTTTTATAAAAATGTAAATATGGTCATAATTTATTTTACAAATGTGCTATGCGCATTAAAAAGCAGTCATGTTTTGTGTGTTTCCGGTTGAAATAGTTTCTGTTTGCTTGGTTTGGGATATTATATATAGTGTGATTCCATATAGATAGCAGTGATTCCACAAATATGTCTTCTCTATGAGGCTTTTTTCCTGTCCTGTTCTATAAGACTCTCACAGTAGTGATTCACAGCTTACTATAGAATTGCATTCTCCACTGGCACTGACAATTGGAAATATTGTTGACCCTGACACTGGCTGAGAGCGAGTAGACCTAACAGAATGTGAGCATAAAATAAATAGATTCTTTTTCAATGTCTCTTCAGCCCAAGCCTCACAGTGAATAAGTCAGATTGTTACCAGCTGTCGCGCTTTTCCACTGTAAACCCTGATATACCCTATAAGCTATCTTTAAGTACTATTCAGTCCAAAGTGTCAACCTGGTTGGGGAGAAGGAGAGGCAACTCAAGCCCAGCGTGCTCGGCATCCAGCAGATTGACAGCATCAGTGGCGGTGGCGGGCGGGTGCGTGGGGTCAGAAGCCAGAGGTGAGGGTGGGTTGCTGGCAATGTTGGGCTCTCCCGAGTTACGCAGAGAGAGCGAGAGCGCCGGTGAGGGTCTTCGGGGCGACCGCGAAGAACAGCAGGGCAACAGCTTCCCCAGAGCTCGCTTGAAGTCTCTCATGAACAGCGGGTAGATGATGGGGTTGATCGTACTGTTGCAGTAGCCCAGCCAGGTTATGGCGTCAAAGAGCGCAAGGGGGACGCACTCACACACTGCCTGGATGAGGATGGTGACAAGGCAATCCAGGCGTTAGGGTTTAACAACTTAATGTAAGAGAAAAAGTTTAATACAAAAACACATAAAACATAAATGGAGAAAATGAATAACAGCTATTAGATGACACAAATATGCACTGCCACATGCTGCAACTAGTGCAAAATTGTACTCATAAAAGATTGATTTAGTTGTTAAATGCACCAGTACTGCCAGATTGTACCTAAATATAAGAAAGAATAAGTAAAACATTAGGAAAAAACTAATCTCTTAAAGTAAATGTGTTTTCATATCATGCACAGATGTGTGCACAGACACAGATGATAATGCATCAACAAACATTACAATGTAACACAAAGCCAAGGAAGTAGAAGACTATAAACAACGGGCAATGAATGAAAGAACATGCTTGTGTATTAGCTTTATTACATTATAACATCTATTGAATGTTTATTAGTTTAATAAGCACATTTTTTTGCCAAGTTGTATATTTTTATTGACCTAATTTACAGCCCACATTTATTTGTTTATTATGAAATTGTTGAAATAAAATGAATTAAAATTACATTTACATAGAAAATTAATAATACATGCGCACACATACACGGGTGTATTGCACATACATTTTTCAATAGATGTAATTAATTCAATTAATTGACATTTTTAAAATCGACTCAATGTCATGCGTTTTACCCTAAAAACACTCTGTATGTGTGCAGCCCTAGATGTATGATTTATTTACTTTGAGAAGTCGGTACATAGATGCATCGTTTTTTTTCTCTGTCTGGCTGTTAAGAAAACTGATCTTGAAAATAACCAGTAGGTTTGGGGAGCGACAGTGAAGAAGGGGACAGCTGTTAGAGGAGAGCTTCCAATACTATCAAGATGAGGCAGGGAGGCGGTGGGAATGGGACAGAAATGGGGGGAGTTCGTTTCACACACCACATTGAGTGCGAAAAAGAAAGGAGAGCGCAGGCACAGTCAAGTCTCTGTGCTCTGTGTTATGCAGGGGAGAAGTGAGAGGGCACAGATGGGAAATCAAAATGACTGGATCACTGAAAGCTTGAAAAAAACAGGACAAGTGTCATTACCAATTTAGATTAAGCTGTTTTCTGACATTCGTTTACTCTCGGCGAGGTTTTTCGGGGTCCTCCTTGTTTGTTTGCTGAGTAATAAGTGTGTATATTCATTCAGTCTAATCAGATCGAAATCACTTTGAAAAGAGTACCAATTATAAATGGTACTTTTGTAGGCTGTTTTGGAGGCTTTAGGAATGAGTCAGCCACACAAAGCTGAAATGCCAATCTATTTCCTCGTTAGATCGCCTGGCAAGGCTGTGACGCCAAGGCTGGCCAACACAAAAATAGATCAGTATCCAAGTGTTTTTTTCTCTCTTTTTTTCTTCTTTTTTTCATGTATTTCACACTCTTTTCGTGCCCACCATGTTTATAAAATTGTGAGAGTACCTCTGAATCACTGAGATAGATGCACTGAGTCTTAATAAAGACTAAGATGCTCAGGGATGTTGCATATATGTGAAGCCAACGTGGATTGAATGAAATTATTTTTCTTTTCTAGCTCATCTGATCACAAACTATTTAATAATTCCTTTACATATGTTTATGTAGCAGATGCATTTTTTTCCTCTATGACATCTCTGTGTCATTAGTGATGGAGACAGCCTCCGGTACTCCTACTGACCTCTGCCATGTTGGTGATGAAGAAAGGCAGCCAAGCACTGAAGAAGAGTCCCAAGAGGACTCCCAGAGTCAGACTGGCCTTGAGTGCCCTCCGACCCTGCCTGTGAGCCAGGCGACGCTCGCTGTTCACTGACGGCTGTGGACAGGTGGGTATAATACAGATCCTTAATCTCAACAAGCACTGATATCATGTAAATCCTCTTTGGCATTAGTTATTCAAATCCATTTTGGCTCCCTTTGCAGTTTGTCCAAAAGTCTTGAGCCACATCTCATATTTAAAAATACTTTGGCATAAAAACTGTCAATATGTGCTCCAATTTATTGAAAAGTGCAAACATGCAAGAAAATAATTTAAAATGCAAACTTCTGATTACTTTGAAAGTCAGTATTTGGCATGACCATCTTTATTCTTCAACACAGCCGAGCTTTCTAAGCCAAGTTTTCTCCAGGCTTCTTGAAGGACAATCAAAGTTCTACTTTAGATGTTGCTGTCCTTTCTCTCTAGATCATCCCACACTGCTGCAGTAATGTTGAGGTTCGGGCTCTGGGGAGGCCAATCCATGACTGGTAGTGTTCCATTGTGTGTTTTTCTATCCAGGCATGCTTTTACTGCATTGGTAGTGTGTTTGGGATCATTGTCATGCTGTCATGCATGGTGAAACAAAATCTGACAACACTTTTCTATGTTCATTATTCCATCCGTGTTGACAAAGTATCCCAAACCAAGTATAAAATGCAGTACCAAACCATGACAGAGCCTCCAGCTTTCTCTGGACTCATCACTCCATTACATCTGTTGCTACTGATGCAAGTCGCTTAACAAACAAAATTACATTCCTAAGAATGGTAAGGCACAAAAAATGGACTGTAAATGAGCGAAAAAGGAAGCAATGAGAAAAACTTTGAAAGTCCTTCAGAAAGTCTAAAGAAAGTCTGGCTCCTTGGAAGCAAATTATAAAGAAATAAGTGCTGGCTCAAGACTTTTGCACACCATTGTATTTGTTTGATTAGTGGTTTTGCTTGAGTTCTTCCTTTTTGTCAAATCAAAATAATTTTCAGAGTTTGCGGAAACATATTTATTCACTTCATCTTAAGAATACTGTATACTGTACTGTCATTTCAGTCATTATAAACAGAGACTGTGTAGTTAAATATCACCGAGCTCCTCAGAGGTTTGCATCCAAGAGCTGGAACAAGCTGATACATGATATGGAGGATACAGTGAAGATGCTGATTTTAAAGGCTTGATGCCTTGCTCCTTTCACCTGAGTCGCTAAAGAGCAAACTTGTTTTCAGTTCATTTACTATCTGCAGAATTATTTTTAACACTGTGTACTTCCTCTCTTCTTTTTCACAGTTTTAATTTCATAAAAGACATAGCCAGTAAAAATCGAATAAAATAAGGACACGTTTGAGCTGCATTCCTACCATTGATTTGAATCCTGCTCTTTAAATGTTCACATTCAAGGACACTTTCCACCTCTTAGCAACAGTCTTTAACATCACCACAATGTCCTTACTATGCCGAGAGAGTTTCATGTCAATAGATTCATAGGTAAGGCTTTAGGCTTATCCTTTTCATCCATTCATCCTTTTCTGTGCTTTTTGTTATTATTTGGTCGGCAGCAATACACTGACAGCCTTCGCTCTGTTACATTTAACTGTTTGGTGTCTCTTTTTCTTACCGGCATGTTTTGTGACACAGGAGGCTCCAAATGGCTGCAGTCATCTCCGTCCTGCTGAGCTTGCCCTGCTGCAATGCCCGGCGAAGGAGGCCGGGAGGGTTCTCCGAGAGAAGGGTGCGGGTGAGGCGGGTGGCTCAGCGCCGCCACCCTCTTCGCCTGCCTGCGTGCCACCAGAAGGATCCGGCAGTAGGTGAAACAAATGGCACTGGAGGGCAGAAAGAAGGTGAGCACAGATGCCACCAGAGCAAAGGGCAGGGTCACCCGCAGACGACACTGGAAAGAAAGGCCACCTGAAGGTGACAGCTGAAAGTAGGATTCTGGGTACAGTTTGTCAGAGTAGGAGCTGATGTTCCCAGTGCTGACCCCAAGAACAGATGAGTGTCCGCTCCTGTGGCCCAAGCTGTGCCATTTCATCTGAATGGGCAGGAAGGAAGCCAATGCTGCTAGCCCCCAAGCAGCCCCTACAAGGATTAACGCCCGAGGCGGGGTCATCCTCTGCTTATAGCGCAGGGGCGAGATGATGAAGAGGTAGCGGTCCAGGCTGATCAAGCACAGGTTCAGGATGGACGCGCTGCAGCACATCACATCAAAGCAAAGCCAAACCGGGCAAAACGCAGGCCACAGCACCCAGGCCCCGCACAGAACGTTGAGCATAGCTGGGGGCATGACCACCAATGCCACCATTAGATCGGAGAAGAACAGAGACACCAGGAAGCAGTTTGAGGTGCAGCGCAGAGAGCGATGGGCAAACACCAACGCAATTAGCAACATGTTGCCACAGATGGTCATTAGGATGATGATGGTCAGCATAAAAGCTAACAACCAAGGGCCGCTGCCGGTGATGTTCCAGGCGCTGGTGGAGCTGCCGTTGTAGCTCCCTAAGGTCCCAGACAAGTGAGAGTCAGCCATGGCACCTGCTGGCAGAAGTCAGTGAACGAGCTCTTCAGGTAGCACTAGATGTTACAGACCTTAACCAGTTCTCCTTTGCAGCAAAAGCTCACATTTCAGGGACATCGTTGAATGGAAAGCCACTGAGGTCTTGTGCTGAGAAATCAGGGTTAACTGAACTGTTCTCCATGGATAAAAATCCCCATCCAGAAATACATCCAGGTGTCCTGGACTTACTTCCACACCCACCAATATAGTGATCCAAATCCCCAGCACAGTTTCACTCATCTCTCCATCCTGGCCAGTGTCCCTGTCTCATCCACAGCTAAGAGCCAGAATGAGCCGTTCGATAGCTGACAAGAGGGTTTCGAAGCAGCATGTCACAATGATGACAGGCTCCGGAGGAGGGCACAAAAACAGAAAAGCCTTGAATCGGCATATGAGAGCAGGCTCACTGAAGATGAAGAGAACAAGGATCAATGCTCAAAATTATACCTCACCTCACAGAAGTGGATCTGTCTCTCGCAAGTCCTTTGCTGTGCCTTGCTGAGCTCTGCTGCCTTACACAAGTCCGTTTTATTCTGGGAAACACAGCAAGGCAGCAAAAAGCAACAGAAAATTGTGCAGCAGTCATTTGTAAGCACCGCTCTGTTCGCGAGTGCTCTACAGGTATCACGGCCATGTAACGCTCGGTCCTGTTAATCCCTGTGTCGGCCACTCCAGCGTGCCTCCCAGCCTGAGCGCACAGCTACTGAGAAGGAGCGTGTCAGAGCATTGAGCCGTTAATGCATAACCATGCACAATCACAGCCAAGATATGCTAATTCTAAATCATAGGAACTAGTGTGGGTGTTTTGTTTAGATTTTTTCTCCCTTGTTTGGACATGGTGTTTTTAACTACTCTGGAATAACAATTTTAAAAATGTCCATCACGCCTTGATTTTCTTTTCTCATATGCACTATATACATATATTTTGACACTACTCCACCACCACAGTCACCACCAAAGTGTTTAATTATCAGCCTTAGTTACAAGTTACTTTGCAGTGATTGTGATTGATCCATCATTTATAGGGAGATGACTGTTTAAAACCAATAATACGTAAAACATGGATCAGCTGTATTTGAATGATAACACTGATTGCATTTTAATCTGCCAGTTTCTCAGTAACACATTGTAATATTTCAGCATATTTTTGTTTGTTTTGGGTGACTCACACATTATACCATTAGTGAAGAAATTCCCTATTATATAACAATAACCACTTTACGTCATCTTGTTATTCTCAATGCACAGAGATGACGAGACAACCCCAGAATCCTTCATTTCCTAACAGGAACATTTGAATAGCCTTATAGGACTGCTTTTACATCCCTGCCTCAGCCTTCTTCTCTGACAGTTTTCAGAAAAATTACTTCAAGCACCTTTTTCAAAACTGCATTAACACTTGACTCCTAACCCCCTACCCCTCTTCAAGTGTCATTATTACTCCTCAGAGTGTATGAAGTATAATCTAGCTGATGTAACGTATTACACAATCCTCATCTTTGTACCACTTGGTTAAACATGATTTGTACACAATTACATACCTTACAAAGCATGTATGGAACAGCTTATTATTAACCCACAACTCTTTTTTTAATAATTATTTTATTAAATAAACACAGACCGTCCTTATAGGGCATATACAAATCATACAGTCATACAAGGAAGGATGTCAACAGGGAGACAAGAGTCTGACTGTAGAACAGTGCAAATGGTGACGCACCCATAATCAAAACAAAAACAAACACTTTGGGGAAAAAAAAAAAGAGACAGTCCCTTGGTGACGTGCAGTTATTGCTCCTGTTGAAGAAAACAGAGACAGGTTTCATGAATTGTCATTTACATAACCAGCGATACAGGGTTGTTATTGAGAGTTAGAAGTGGGGAATCAATTCCTTAAATGATTTAGTTTTAGTGGTCTTATCTCTTTCTCTAGAAAAAATAGAAATAAATTCAGTATTTATATATATATATACATATATATATATATACACACACACATTATATATATATATATATATATATATATATATATATATATATATATATATATATATATATATATATATATGTGTGTGTGTATATATATATATATATATATATATATATATATATATATATATATATATATATAGATATCTACACATACACATATATACATACACATATATACACACATGTATACATACATACATGTATACACACATGTATACATGTATACACACATATACATGTATACACACATATACATGTATACACACATATACATGTATACACACATATATATATATATATACACATACATACACACACACACACACACACACACACACACAGAGACTGAAATTATGCCAGCATTATACACATTTCAGACTTTATGAAATCTACTGGTATTTATAACGATTATAACAATTTAATCAATTTTTTCCATGGACAAACCAACCTTATCGCCTCTGTGCAGCATATAATGTGACCTCAGGTTATTCTGACAATTGGCATACGCCATGCCGAGCCCTGCTCCCGAGCCAAGTGAAATTGGCCATGTGTGCCCTATAATTGAGAAAGATGCTTTAGATTATTTTCAAACACTCACTCAAGCACTTCACAGCATGATTAAAAACAGATTAGAGATGGTGTGCTACAGCCTTTCACCCTGTAGCCTTTCCCCCCCCCCATCGTAATTACCTCAATTTTTAACATGCTTCTTTAAAAGCTTTTTGGGCCTTTTGCTGTCTCCGTAACAAAGGCACATCATTTTCCTACATCTAAAATCTGAAATGACTATTGTCTGTGGACAAAAAAATACATCTCATCTATTCGCAGTAAAAGACAGCCATATGTATGTGTTACTGTAACGGGAGTAGAACATTACTGCAGCCATGCTTTTTTCCCTCAAGGACTTTTAAGCAAAAGGAGCTGATCTAGATTCAGTAAAGCAATTAAACTACTTACGTTTGAAGAACAGAACAGAAAACACAATGCCTAACCCCAGACCGGTGCCTGAGAGACAGAAAAAAAAACAGCTGTTAATGTATTATTTATTTATACAGCTACTTTGTAATGCTTATTTGGTGTATATGATGTCGTCTGCTGCCTTTGGTTGATGTACTTTTAATCATCATTTGATCTATGCTGTATGATTAGTTTAAGAGCAATATTTCCCCCCACTTTTTTCTACAAGATGGTTAAAAAAAAAGACATTTCATGTTATCTTGCCACAGCATATAAGAAGAGTTTTACCGTCTTAATACACAGTCTCTTTAAAATAAAGTGGGCCTGCTTGGCGTAAACCTACCTATTCTTCACCGCACCTAACTCCATTCAAATATGCATCAATTTATGGATCTTGGCTTCTTAACAGTAAGTGCATGGCCCTGTTACGTTAGGCACCCCCTGGCCAGGATCATCTCTGTCATCTCCTTCCAGCGAAAAGAGTTAGCGAAACAGCAGAATAGCTCAAATGTGAATAACCTAAACCATTGGTTCTGTTTTTTATTTATTTATTTATATATATATATTTATATATAAATATATATATATATATATATATATGCCGAATTAAGAGGGGGACAGAAATATCTTGTAAAATTCTTTAAGTTGCGTACTAGAAGACGTGTCCGTATTAATCAGCGATTAAGAATTAGGTTGACATTTTCTTAGCAGCGTTTGCACTGGGCTAAGTGAAACGCATAAAAAATGAGCGAGAACATCAAAGGCCAAATATCTTGAGACTTTAATAAAATGACAGAGTATACCCAATCGTAACTGTATGTATTTAAAATAAACAAAGCATGAAAAAATGACTGGTCATTCAGTTGTCCTTTACAAGCCCTTATGGCTAGCTAGTTAGCCTCTCGCCCAGTCAATGACAGCTGTGGACTTCAATATAAACTGCTTCTTAAGTGGCCCTTGTTTTGGTACAGGACATCGTTACGATTGAGAAACTGAAGCATATTTACCTAATTTAATGGCACCGTCTGCTAAGCATCGGTCCCACTTTTTCCCCAGCTCCTTCTCAGACATACTGAACATTAGCTTGTGACAGGCTAGAACTAACAAATGCACCTCTGCGTGATGCTTTCACGTGTTGTCGGAAATATATCCCTAGGGTTACGATTTAAACGCAGAAGAATAAACGACAACACTGAAAATTTTATGATTTTACAAGTGATTCGTTTAAACATTCACCCTTTACCGCCTTGGTGTTATTGACAGAACTTATGTTAAGGAGGAAACGTTTAAAAAACTAAAGAAAGCCAAGTAACGTCTTTTTTTTGAAAGCAGCATTGAAACTCTTGCAAACCTCGCGATAGGTTATACCCCAACAACTGAATGGCGCCAGCTTGCGGTAAAGAAAGGATTATCCCAAACAAGTCACTTTGGTCCATACAATATCCAGCAAGCTGTACAGTAAAAAAGTTTGGAAAAAAGAAAACAAAACCAGGCACGCTGTTATGTATAGCAAACTTTCTGAGTTTAATTTGACACAAATCAGTACACTGTCGTGAAGTCATCTAACATGATTTCCTAAGACGACAAAATACAGTTTCTGACAACATACAGCGTACAAACATGGTATCCATTACACAAAAAAAACACCTTGGCATGTTTGAAAGTGTTCTCACTAACAAAGATGTGCCATTAGCTGGTATGCAATACTCTGAATCTGCAAACTGTACAACTTGTGTCTAACACACAGAATTAAGGTACCAAAACATGAAAACCATGTTATATATTGAGACTTTATCAAACATATCAAACCCAAAACATCACAACAAAGGTTCCACTGTTACTCCTCAGCAGGCAAAGTGTAAAACAGCCAAAAGTTCTCTTATTGGCAGCAAGCACAGCTTCTTATATGGTGTGGACTACAATTTGGCTTCTTAATAGATTTCAAGTGAACTCAAAGGTTGGGCTGGTTTTGGGTGCTTTACTCACTGTGAAAGTTTGTGTGTGTGAACAGCAAAGAGGTAGAAACTGTATCCTTGGAGAATAAAAGTGTCTTTGGCTAAAAACTAAAGAAATTACCTTTGCTTTTACTGCCTTTGCTGCAGTACATGTGTATCGTGGGTGCTAACCTCATGCTGGACTGCATTTCATTACATGTAAAAAAATAAAATTAAAATAACAATATCTATAATGAACACAGGTGAAGACACAATCAGCCCCCTCTCCTGGTCCTGTGGAACCTCATCCCAGCTGTACTTCAGGTCACTCTGTGGACCCTGGCAGAGGAGATTCTTCTCCTTCTTCTGCTGCTAGTGACTGGCTAGTTGTCTTCACAGAGATCTTGCTGATTTCCAGGAGATCGCGCAGCTCCTTGTTCTCAATCTGAAGGTAGAAAATGTTTTTTTCAAACATAACTTTTGAAGTTAAATATCTCTTCCTTATAACATGCATGTGCTTCCCCATGCAAGCAGGTTTTGAATGAAAATTGTGATGGATGCATCGCATCTTCTCTTTTAAATAGTGTTACTGTTTATTTGTGATAGAATTTTTTGCACTTTGGCAGTGTTGGGGGAAGCAGATAACCAAAGCAAATACAGACAAATTAAAAAGAAAGTACATCGTCTTTTATTTCTCAGGTTTTATCAATAAGACCTAATAAGAAAAAAAAAAGATGAGTTCCTTAGTAGGTACTAAAATTATTTAAATACAGCCCCAGATGAACAATAACTCATGTCATTATTTATTTAATAAAAAGAAGCATCGTGTAAAAACTTGTGTACGGCTTTATCCATCCATCATTATGGAGGAAGTCTGGTCATTACAATGTTGCTTCAGCACACTGAAGATCACGATTATTCGTTACGGTCCCACCAGTGTTCCAGCTGAGTTGAGGTTTGGACCTTGACTGAAATATTAAAAAGCTGTGATTTCCCTTTTGTCAGCCATTGTGCTGCAGATTTGCTGCTGTGCTTGGGATCATTGTCCTGCTTTATGAGTCTGTTTCAGCCAAGTTATGCAAAACTAACAATGCTGCCTTGTTTTTTTTGTTTGTTTTTTTTTAAAGGAAAGAGGATTTTTTTTCTCCCTTTCATTTAACGTGCTAACATAGCCCTGTAGAGTCTAAGCTGTAGCTCTTGGATTTTTAGCCATGAGCATTGCACAGTCTGTGGCTGAATTTGCTAGAACAACCACTCCTGGGAAGATAGCTATTGTTCTGAATGCTTTTATTCATTTATATTCTTAAATACATGTTTGTTACCGTTTGGGAAAATGTACCTTTTCAACAAACTTTACAGTTGTAGCATATTTAGAAAACTCACAAAAGGTTATCACAAAGATGGCACAGTAAGAAATCTAACCGACTGGTTTAAAAGGCCTAATAAACCCCGAAACAAAACAACATGCTCCTTGACCTGATGCACTAAACCTAGCCATTCCACTAAAAACTGACAACTCAGCTCTCATTTGCATTTATGATCCTCTATTATCGTTGCATCATTTTGACACAGAAGCTGATGTCTGAGGTCTGTGGTAAAATCACATATTTTTCCACAGACCTCAAGAGGAAAGGTGTCATTGTGTCCATGTATAACTGCATTTCTCACCTCTAGCTGAGCAAGCCTCTCTCGAACACAGCAATAGTGCTTATCATCCACCTGCACTGCTCTTCTCATCACCTGGCCCATCTCGCATATCCGTTCCACTTGGCTCTGCACTTCCTGGAGAAGAGTCAGAAATCAAGTTGGTTGTTTTTATTTTAAATTTGTGTGTCTATGTATTTGGAATCATAGCCCATTAAACGTGTGAGCAAATTAAAGAAATGCAGAGTTGATGTACTTTGGCATGGTCCTCATGGAGGCTGAGCACAGGTTTGGTGTCCAGCTCCTTCTTTGCCATCATCAGCTGGAGCACATGCTTGCGATACCGACACATGATCAACTCGAGCGCGTACTGGTGTTCTTCGAGAGACACCCATAGTTCTACAAAGACATAAAGAGCGTTAATACTGGTATATAAAACCAGCCAGTCAGCAGAACCTTTTTTTACCTTTATTCTCCCGCTGCAGTTCCTTGATTTGAGTGTTTTCCTGAGTCAGAAGGACATGAGGTTTGTATTTCGTGAGCTCCTGTATCTCTGAACTGTCATCTGTGTGCTGAAAAAAAGAGCAGAGAAGAAACGGATAAAGAAGACTTTAGCGAACGCATATCACGAAAGCATATCCTAGATACGGGGGAAACTCGCTTTGTAGTACAGGTCACTGTTTAACTAGTTCAATGTGTACACCAAGCAGTAGTGCAGCTTTTCATAAACGTGAGCTATCTGCTCGAGTTTACCTTGTCTGGCAGAGCATTTCCCACCTCTCTCATGCCCTGCACTCTCTGATTTAGGGCCTCGGACTGCTCTATCAGTCCCTCGGCGGCTGTGTCGTGCTCTTTTAGCCTCTCGAGAAGGGTCCGAGTATCGGCCAGCACTTTTTCGAAAGTGCAGGCCATTTACTGGAAAGTGATAGCTCTTTTTACGCTACGTAGAAAAGCTACTACAAAACTAGCTAGTCGAGCGAAAACAACTCGCAGCCGTTGCTTAGCTGGGCTATATAATCTTAGCCGAGGCAGCTCGGTGCCATTATAGAAACATAAATATCCTTACTGTTTCGCTATTTAACTAATGTTGTGTCGGCAGACAGGGCAAGTACCAGACACCCAGATCAAAATATTACTACATTACTAGAATATTACTGCTTCAGAAACTGACGTTTCCGTGTAGAACTAAACTGTTAGCGACGCTTCCTTCTTCGTCTTCTTCTTCTTTTCCTCCTCCTCCTACTTTTGGTGAATTGTCAAACCAACGTTGAGTCGCCACCTACTGGGGTGGAGTGCGGTGTAGACGTTTGGCACACAACCAAAAGCGGGGTAAATGGCTAAACCTATCTAGCTTGTCTTTAAAATATCTTTACATAAAGCAACAGCGTCTCATCTAAAAATAAAAAAAAGAAAAAGAAAAAATGATATTGTTTCTCCACTGTTCAACAGTTGTATGTTACACAAAATGAACAACAACAACATAATTTTAAAAATTATCAACATTTCAAGTAAAAATGTAACGTAAGCCACTTACAGTGTTGAAATTTAAATATTACTATCGGGTAATTTCAAAGTGAGTGAAGGGCTGAGTTGAGTTGATGCATTATGTTACATTTTCCTATGTTGGGTAATTGTGCAACGTGTAGTCTCAGAAACTCTCCTGTATGGGGAGAAAACTTAGTTATGGCGACACCTATTCAGTTTAGTTATCTAATAAATGGCATGATAGCTATTATTTACTCATTAATCAAATAATTAATGGGTTTATTATTTATTGAACTCGACTGGATTACTCTTACATATCTGTTTTCCAGTCTAGACAGCGAGGTAGATAAAATGTTAACGTTACTATAACGCAAATGCCTCCCATGTCCCTTTGCGGCACATAGGCGGTTTCTTATCAGCGCCTTGCGTAGCCACTCTTCGCTTGAGGATCTTTGGTCTACCTAGTATCGTCAAATATCGCGTTAGCCGTCTCCCTATCTCTACGCAATGTGCCGTGCTGCTTCTAGCGGCGCTGGTGACAGTGCTGAAAGCTGTTGGGGTGAGTTTTTAATATTTTATCCCTTTTAGCAGAAGAATTTAAGCGTGTACTGGTAATATATCAATGATAGTTTTCTTTTTGGTCAGTGAGTACTTAGAGGTGAATTGGTGAGTCAGCGCTTAGTCGTACGCACAGTTCGGGCCTGGGTGGAGGCTGCCTTGTTACAGCTCCACATAAATCACGCGAGGGCCGAGGAGTACAACGGCATGCTAGCTAACGGTAGTCGCTACTAGCTACTTAGCATTGCCAATGGCCTAGTTATGCTGTCGAAGGTATAAATAAACAGGCGCGTGATGTTTTTTCTAAGACGTATTAGAGTCTGGCGAAGAAACAGCACGTGTGTAGAATGAATGTGGTTTACTTTAGAGACAAAGATGGCATTTAAATAGAATTAAGCACGAGGCTTATATCTAGCTTCTTTGTTGTTCCGTCCTCGTGCCGTTAACGCCGATAATGTTATTATTGCGTTATCGACGTAAAGAAATGAATAAACTGAGTGTCTATATTTAACGTTGTTCTTGACTGGCAAGAAATTAAAATGTAAATAATTATAAGTACTTTTTAAAGAACTGTCCTGGTGTCGGCAGTCACTTTTGGCATTGTCTGTTCTTAACTCTATTGTCCGTTTAGCTTAAATAGCCCGTGTTGCAGGTTGGCGTGTGATACGATCCAGTTCTAAAAAACGTCTCCATT